CTAAATAAAGCATTTGATGGGGAGCATGAATGAGGACACCAGCGGTAGGAGTTGCAGATGGGTTCAAGGTGGAGCGAGATTACATTGGCTCTGAACCCTTCTTGTTTATAGTGGTGATGTTAACAGACGACATTGAGATCCTGTTTTTGAAGATCTTTGATTTGTAGAAAGATTGATGGGGTTTTTTTTAAAATAATTTGACCATCACAAGTTGATTTCACAAACTGACTTGTTGGTACAGCGGCATTCTGTTACAGCACCACACTCAGGCTCTTTAGAATGACCCTTCTTTCACAAATGCTTGTAAAGAGACTGCATAGATAGGCGTTTCTGGCACTGAAAGCACCTGGGTTTAAATTAAGAGCTGTGGCCCAATGTGTATTTCCTTTTTAGTTAACTAAAAATGTTTGTTTTTTTCACATCTAGTTCATTCTGATGGTCTTGGTAAATCAAATCCCAATCAGTCTACTTGTCACTTGCATTTGTTGCCAGCCTAAATTTTAGACTAAAAGTCACTTTTCAACCATACATTCATTCAGCATTTATTTTGTAAACTTTAAGCACTTTATCTACCTCACACCTATGTTAGAATCACCATGCGTGTTTTAGGACTGTGTGAGGAAGCTCAAGTTCCTGGAGGAAAGCGCCTTTATCTTTATTAACTCAAAGTATATGTAGTCCCATCAATTCTGATATTCATTCTGATATCGTTATCTGGTTATTTCCTCCTCTCTTTTTTCCAAAAATGAATCTGGTGAATTTTTGCCTCTCCAGTCATGACAGATGAGCAGAAGGCCCGTCTCTCCACTAAGAGGCCCCTCACCAAAGAGGAGTACGAAGCCAGGCAGAGCGTGATCCGCAGGGTGGTGGACCCTGAAACAGGGAGGACAAGGTAAGCAGGGGAAAGCGTGCCACAAGAGTGGGAGTTTGGAGGAAGAATTCACCCACCCTGGTTAAACTGGTGATCTTTTTCCCCTCTGCTGTCTTAGACTGGTGAGAGGAGAGGGGGAGATCATAGAGGAGATAGTCAGCCGGGAGAAACAAAAAGACATCAACAAGGTATGACAGAAACCTTTCAGCTGTAATTGCAGTAATGTGCCGTTATAACTGTTAACAGCTAGACTTTATTCATCTCACAGCAAGCTACGAAGGGAGATGGGGATGCCTTCCAGAGAAAACTGGGCATCAACAGGTAGAAGATGATGTCACCTTCAGCTTCATCAGCCTGAGAGCACCTTCACTAAACAGCTCTGCAGAAAGTAACTCGTCAGTGTACTGAAATGCACTTCATATCAAATAATAGTGATAGCAAAATAATACTGTGATGCTCTCCTGAGGTACACATGGTAGAAGTCATAGTGAGCTGCTTGTAATGGCTGTCAGATGTAATTGAGTAGATAGAAAGTAGTGCCTACATAAAACTGCTGACAACAAGGATCTTACTGGGATTCTGTTATAGTAGATTTTTGATTTCAACAAAAGACATTGCTACTGATTTTCTGTAACACTGAGCTTCATAGAAAAGTTTCATTTAATTTAATTATTGTGCAAAATCTTTGCTTTAAGTAATGATTAATCCCAGATAAGCGTCCAGTTCAGCTGTCTGATATCACCTTCTCACACCACCTCATGGTTGTCTTACATTTGTATCTCAATTTTTTTTTTATTTTAAATTTCTCTAAATAAATCTCCATTTCTTTGTGAAAGTAAAGTCTGACTTCAGTTCCTGCTCTCATAAAAAAACAAAAACATCCTCGTTTCAACTCAGTGGGGAAGAAAAAAAAAAAAAGCCCAAATGCCTTAGTTGTTCTTTATATGTTCTTTATACACTGTACATAAAAACACAAGGGAGGAATGGGTAAAATGTAGTTATCCAAAACCTACAAGATACACACCCTGTACAGGTAAAATATTTTCCAAGCATGATATTGTGGTGCAGATATACAGCCTTTGAACGATAACTGTTGGAGGCGGAGCTGGAGACAGCGATGGGATTGCCTAATGTTGGTGAATTATGTCCCACTCTCTTCTTCTTCATAAATTTCCTTTAAAAAAGTCAAACAAACCAAAGTCCTGTTTAGAAAATATGGCCTCCATCTTTTAGTAGTAACACGAACAACGTCCTTCAACGTGAAGTCTGTTCGGGGTGTGATCGGCGTACGTTCTCGCCGCACAATGGTCAATGTAAGGCAGTAAAACGGGAAATGTAAGGCCTCTGGTAATGTGTGTGTTGGTAGCAGAATCAAAGCGATCGTCTGCCCAGAGGTGGCAAAAACTGCACGGATCGCTTCTCTGGATTTTTAATATCCGGGCGTTTCAGATCAGGGAGCATGGTTCAGTAGCTGAAAATGTTAGATGACTGCATGTTTTCCAGGACTGACTGTCCTTTTTTTGTTTTCAAGTTACAATAAATGTACAAAGAGCTATTCTTCAACAAGCAGCTTTTTTCCTGTTCCTTTTTTTTTTGTTTGTTTTGTTTTTTAAAGAGTTATGGCTTTAAGCCGATTCTTGTCAAGATGAAAATGCAGAGGGACAGAAGTACAGCATGAGTCACACTCTCCTCAACCAGCTGACGAAAATATAAAATAAAATCATTGCTGATTAAAGAGGTTACAGGTGCCTTTGATCTAGGATGTCTTACGTCGTCTATTGAAAATGTGAAGTGGATGAAATATTTAGAAACACATCTCAGCACAATACAATTCAACTGCATCACAAAGTGAAGCCTCTAAAAGGACCGCTAATTTTAAAATGACACCTCTGAAGAGGGCCAACGCAAACTGAAGGTTACATCATCTGTAAACGTGCTGTTCATCGCACTTATGTAAACCATTTGTTTTGTTACCAGGCTGACTGTTTTATAAATATTAAGTGTGTCTGTCTAGATGCCCATATATTAAAATGGAAACATCACAACAAAACAGCGTGTCTCTCTGCAGGAGAAAACCCGACAGCCAAAATTAGGGCAGTGCCGTTTTAAGGTGAGTTACCCTCTGCAATTTGACGTCTGTAGACCATGTGCCTGTTCACCTGATTGTCAATGCACTGTGACGTGTTTCCTCAACAGTCTGAAAGATCTGGTGGTGCTACTCGGGAATATTGCACGTTTCCCCCTCGTGTCTGAGCCCATATTGGTCCACTGCTGTCAGCTCTGTCTGTACATGATTACTAGAGGTACAAATAAATGTTATTTAAATGAATAAATCACAATTTTGTTTCTAAACCAGCTTTAGAAAATAAATGGCCAACGGTATTAAAGCAAAATCTTAGCTCTGTGTTCCTACTTTCAACAGCGTATTGTACAGGATTTACAATTTGCACATTTCTTTTCCTAAAGGCGCAGCAACACAGAGAAAGAGACCTTAACCTAAGGAGGATTATCTATGAGAACATTCAACACCTCATTTTACAGCTTGGGGATAAACAAGAGAGAGACAAGCCATATCCTGAA